CTGAGATTTCATTACCAACCAGTCCGTTCGTGCTGATAAAACTCTGCAGATAAATTGTGGTCAATCACTTCATTCCCTTATCACTAGGCTGGAAGTCTTTGCAGACCAGCCCTGGAGCATCATCTTACATTTGACAGGTGAGAACAAACCGCATGCCAAACACACTCAGATTTCTGCTTAACAGGTCCACAAGACCCTGTATTTTGTCAGCGTTTTCACCTAGTAGGACAATATCGTCTGCATATTTCAAGTCAGCCAGATGATTTCCAGGGAATAGGTCAGTCCCTGTGAAGTCAAACGTACATAGGGGTACGCCCATTACTACATTAGTGACGAAATCAAATGGGAACGGTGACAGTGGGCATCCCTGGAGGACACCGCTGATTGTTGCCAGCTTACTTGATAACACTCCATAAGCCTTAAAACGGCTGCTTCAGTTCGAGTAGAGAGCTTTGTTTAGTTTTATATACTTGCTCGGTACTCCCTTCACAGTTAGGCGCTGCCACAACACCTCACAGTCGACTGAGTCAAATGTTGCATTGAGGTCAAGAAATATGGTAAGGGTCGGCCACTGGTCGTTAGGTATCCCTTGTTCAGAAATCTGTCGTGGGGTACAGATCTGATCGATGCACTAGGTCTGCCTGAAACTTCAGGTAGCAAACAGTCAGGTCCTGCTGCTTTGCATTGCTCCAGGTTCGATACAACTTTATCAACTTCAAGGAGAGTTGGAGGACCGTCATCTACGTCCAGTTCAGGTTCAGGCTGGATGTTGGGCAAATGAGGCATCGCTGAGAGACAGTTCAACTGTGCTTCAAAGTATTCTCCCCAACGTTACAGCCGCCTGTCCTGAGAGGCGATTGGCGTTCCATCCTTTTTGATGATGGTTTCACTCACCATCGTCTTCTTCCTTCCGGTATCCCTAATAAGTCTAAATAGTTGTTGAATGTTACCCATCGCTGACGCCTTCTCCATCTCTCTCGCTTTCGCCATCCACCACTGCTTGCGATCATTGCGAAGACTCTTGGTCAACTTACGCCTAAGTAGCTTTCGCTCTTCATTGTGGTCAGACCTAACTGGAATCAGTCTTCTTGCATGAATCAGTTTGGATGACATCGTGGAAACCAAATGATGTTTGCTAACCTTCGCGTGTAGGTCAACCACTGCCTTTACCGCTGTTTCTACAGTAGACTTTATATCAAGCCACATTTCCTCAGAATATGCATTGCTGTCATGTTTAGATAGATCCTTGACTAACTCTTTCCTAAATGCAGACTTGACGTTTTTATCTTCCAATCGACCATAAACAGGTTTCACTGCCGCTTTTTTCCTGCGACCAGGAAGGTTCAGACATACGGGAGCCTATTTTAGCACCTGATCGGAGTCTAAACGTACTCTAGAAAGAGCGGTAGTCTTCCGCCGATGGCTTATAGCAATATGATCTATTTGTGTCCATCGTTGGTTTGAAGTCGGCGGACGCTAAGTAAGACAGTATCTCTCCTTATGCTCAAAGTTAGTGCTGCCCAGGAACAAGTGATTTTCGGGACCGAATTGCTACAAAAGACCACTGTTGTCGATTCGTTGGCATGGGATTCCGTAAATACCCCCAATATGCCTTCCCGATTGACTAAGCTTCCCTACTTGAGCGTTAAAGTCACCTGCAATTATGACCACATCTGAATATTTTGCTTTCTGTAGCGAAGTTGACAGTTTCTCATAGAATTCATCCTTTGTAGCATCCGAACTGCGGTTAGTGACTGCGTAGGCGGAAATTGCGAATACCCATCGCCTAGTCTCGTGATCCCTCTTAGTCCTTACAGATCCATTTAGTCGAAAGGTATATAGACGGCTGTTTACCGGAATCCAGTCGGGGAGCGCACTTTCTGCTCTACGACTCAATGCTATGCCTACACCAGTGAGTCCACGAAAGCTAGCCATCGTACCTCCGGATCCTCTTAAAGTGAACTTTGAAGATTCACTACTATGATTAGGTGAAATCAGTTTAATAACGACACTCTGGTCCTGTATGCACGTTTCTGAGATACAGTATACATCCATGGCTAGAGATTCTAGAGTTTTGGCCAACAATGCTTGCTGTCCGATTTGGCATGAAGTTCGGACGTTGGAAGCTCCTACATGAAAACGATGGTAGGGTTTTAGAAAACTAGAAATGATGTATCGATGGCTTTGATCGTTGACAATGGTTGCGGAGTTAGAGATTGGGTAGGGGATAGGAGGTTTAATATTAGTATAAGGAGATGAAGGCAAAGGAGGAGATAGAGTTGAAGAGAATAAGTCATGTGTGATTGGATTTGGTGTACTACTGGAAACGTGCGGGCGGTCGACACTTCACGGCTGCTCACACCGTGGAAGGTACCTGAAGGAGAAAAAGATTTATTTGACTGTAGAGCTCATGGGACATCGCACACTGCCTTTTGGTTTTTTGCTTTTAAATCCGACTATGAATCCCTGTTGCAAGCATTGGCATTCCTTAAGGCGTTACTACAAGTCAACAAGATACCTTCTTGAGAGTATATTAGCCCATGTGAAGTAAGACCTACGGTTAGATCTATTGATACATCTATAACGAAATTAAATAGGAACATTGACAGTGAACACCCCTGGCGGACCCGACTGGTCGTCATCAATTCGGACGATAACTCTCCATAAACTCTTACATGGTTGCGTGAGTCCCAGTAGAGAGCTTCGATTAGCGTGACAAATGCTCGGTACTACCTTCAGAGACAGATAGTGCCAAAACATTTCACGGTCGACAGAGTTCACTTTCAGCATGCTGTTAAATACGATAGATGTAAAACACGTGCCAAACATTTAGAATTTTACTCATGGATTTCAGAAGGCCCTATATATTTTCAGTGTCTCCACTCACTGAGACTATCATCTGTTGCTTCAGGTTGTCCAGTTAGGTTCCAGACGAAACCCACTCAGGAAGTGCTAACAGCGATATGATTTGTCTCCATTTATTTTCAGTTTGACATCGGTGACTTTTGCTCCTGCTGCTTGAATCAGTTATTTATACACTATGTGCATGTGTCGATTCCAAACAATCTAGCTCCTAAAATCTGCAGAACACAGTAATGTAATTATGAGAGACACTGCAGCGACTTATGCCCTTTGAGAATGTAGCTAACGATCATGCAGATCAATGAATCTATGCATCCGACAAACCAGATTCACGTGTGAAAGTTTTTTTTATACAACTGCCAAGATTATTATAAACCATTCACAGCTATATTGTTGCATCTCTCATAGTGGAGCTACGCCTCATTGGTTTGAGGAGATGACTACCAACCAGCGGGTCACGGGTTTGAACATCACTCTGACTACCGAGTTTTGGGGAGTCAGGTTGTAACAATAGCCCCCAGCAAAAGGTGTGGCTCATTGCCTACTACACGAACGTGCACAAGTTTTCTAAATGCGTTCCGATTTTTTTCCGAATCTTTAATTATATGAAACCACCAGCCCCTTAATAAGATCATACTTATGAGGGCGAAATTACACAAAACGTAAGCAAGCGTAGTATGATTCAAACTTGTAAGTTTGTGACCGGAATTCTCACTTTTAAGCTAGTGAACCGTGAACTCCATTGATTTACCGGCATACAAACAACTTTTTGAACAAATAAATACCTTTATCAGAGTGATTATCTGAGATAGCTATTGGTTTGGCATACTTGTACTATTCATGCTAAGTGGTGATTGAAGGTGAAATGAAAATTTGGGCCGCAGCAGGACCCCAACTAAGCAGCCTCTGGGTTACCGGCCGAGTGCTCTGCCAAATTGGATACTAAACCCAATCGCTGATCAGACCTTAGTTTCACTTTAATCACCAAAGGTTTTGCCCAGCTGCCATGTGAATCTGTTATACGTAACTTCCCGTTAATCGTAATCACAATGGTTGCCCAACCACCTTACTTATCATGGATTCACATGGCACCTGGGTTAAACCCTTGGTGTTTGAAGTGAAATTAAGATCTGGCCAGCAGTCGGGTCTGGTAGCTCAGTTGGCAGAGTATCAGGCCGGTAACCAGGAGGCTGCTGGTTCGAATCCTTCCGTGACCCATATATTCGTTTCACCTTTAATCATCATCTAGTTATCAGCTATGAGACGGTCACAGACCATCGCTCATAATGTGTAGAAACTCGGTCAATTTGTTTCCGTCAGTATTTAAAATGAAACAATTACGTTGATTTCCATCCGGAAAAAAAATTGTGCACATACTTTGGTCTTACAAAGAGTCACTGATGGCTTTAATATCAATATCTAAGTCGTCAAGTCTCATTTCGAATGTCTCAGGGACATGAGTTTCTCCCTGAGTTCCTGATGGTTTGAAGAAAGCATAAGACCTAAGTACAAGAATCCTTATCCGTTAACCCCAAACATCTACCACTACACGAGACGTTTTGTATATTGTCACACAGCTTATCGGTTACATTCTACAACCCATGAACATCTAGAAGAACAAAGCTACAATGGTTACCATCCAGCAACCGATTCTCGTGAATAACGAATTTCAACTAATTATCTATGTACCTCGAGAGAAAATTCAAATTAATCTTCTCTGGTATGCGTTTCAGCGAAATCAGAAATACATGGGTAATCAAAAGAACGGTAGTCTGCACCAATCCTTGTGACGTATATTCGTCCGTTTGTCAATTCTCTTCTGAAAGTTTATGAAGTCAGAGCTTCCACCAAATGCTAAAATAGGATTTCTACGGCGTCAATGACTTTGCGAAAGTCAGCAGCCATCAAACGGACAATGTGGATTACGATTTGCATACTTCCGTTATGTCATCGTAAACTTCGCCAACTATAGAACACGCACGCGATTCAAAAAGTCATCATAAAATCACCTTTACCCCTTTTATGAGTAAAATGCTATGCACTGAATTCTCTTAACTAATTTCTATATGGCGGTCTACAAATAAATAAAGTCAAATCGCCATGACCTTAAATTCCCGAAATCATTCATGCAAACTAACCTCAAAACGAGTGATATCCCTCTTGATAACACCATTTTGGAAGTGCTACGTAGTAACTGAAAGTAAAGAATAGAACAACCTGTTACTCAAGTAATGATGAAAATGAGCAGGAACAAATTGTATATTTGGATAAAGGATACCAAAGCTTAATCCAATCAAGTGCAAAGCTGATGAATGTGGTCAGTCACTTAGATTAGACACAAATATCAAAGTAGAACTTGATACAGAAGTGCATCGGTTCAATTTGCCAAACTTCACATTAGCAAACAGAAAAAGTAATATTAGGGCAGACTAATGCGTGTGAGGAGATGAAGCAAATAGACGAAGGTCAACATAATGTTAAAGACCTTGAAGATACCAAAGAATGTATAGATAAGTACCATTTTGACCGATTTCCAACAGTGTCACTAATTCTTTTCAGCCATTGATTCTTATCATCCCAGGGCCCGACCCAGCTAATCTACGCCCGACTACATGGCTCAGACTAACAATCGGAGGCTTCATAGACCGGTACCATGTCACAGTTTGGTCCCCCTGAGCCTTATTCCAACTCAATCCTACTTCAGCTAACATTACATCTCGAAGTGGGCGGTGGGTCAGCATTCGCAATTCATGTCCAAGCCACTTCACTAACATGCAATCACCTCACAACCTCATCAACTGATGTCGCTTTATTTCCCAATCCCCTACACCTAACCTTACAATTTCTCAAACGGTAGTTACATCATACGTGAGCAATGCAAGCACGGTCATCTGTATTCGAGAACCTGTATTCTCTTGATATCTATTTTCAGTGGTCATAACTCACAGCCGTATAGTGGGAGAGTGCCCAATGCAGCGCAATATACTCCTCATTTAATAGGTAGTCAGATATCTGGCCGGCGCCAGACATGCTGCAACCTGGTGAATATCACATGAGTCCTTCGTATCCAAGCTGAGATTTCGTTAGCAAATACCCCGTTCAGGTTAAAGTAACTCCTCGGGTAGGTGAAGTTGTCGACGCATTCAACCACTTTCTTACCTGTCCCTGAACTGAGTAGTTTTAGACCAGTCCGCAAGTATCATCTTACATTTGACAGGTGCAAAATGCATGCCAAAAATATATTCCGATTTTTGCTTAAAGCATTCAGAATGCTCTGTGTACTGCTAGTCCTCGCACAACGCGCCTATGTCGTCCGCCTCAACCAGGTGACCTGCTGGGAGTAAGTCAATCGCCGAGAAGTCAGAGGTACTAGTCACATCCACTATTATATTCATAGCAATGTTGAATAAGAATGATAGTAGTGAGAATTCTTGGTGGAAACCACATTATTTCTTAATACACATAATGAAAACAAGTGCCTTTGGGTTGTGGTGCTATTTTTTGAACAAGACTGAAGTTTACAAACTCACCCTCTTAAATAACCATATATTTAGATGTCCGGACAGTATCAGAAACTAAACATATGATACAGTATTATTTCAGTAATGCAAAAATTCCCATTTAGACATTTAGTAAAACAAAAAATGTGAGCGAAGAAATATTTCTTTTCAATTAGTTCCTCATCAATGGCTCTACACTAATATAGCATTTTCAAACGTAGAATTACATACCATAACATAACTCTTACCACTAGATTGGTATGTAATTCTACGTTTGAAAATGCTATAGTGTAGAGCCATTGATGAGGAACTAGTTGAAAAGAAATATTTCTTCGCTCACATTGTTTATTTTACAATATTATTTGTTTGGTGGTGCCAGGCAGTGTGATCTTCATGGCAATCTTTATCTTTTTTGCTAACAAGCTCTAAAAAAATATAACACGTCATGGGCCCAGCGGCTAGCCATCACTAACCAAATAACATCAAGATGAACTTAAAGACAATATCAATTGTTTTACAACTTACAAAATATCGTCTTTTGATAAATAAAAAAACGTTTTACAACGCACTTTTATAAATCGGCAAGTATGTTCCGATTAAGATGGACGGTAACACAAATTTAGGTTGATGTTTTTAACTGATCAATAAACAACTGAAATGCACCCTTTTGTAGTTCGCTGAAGCAGTTGCAATTAAAAGACCGATCTATGTATTCAGAAAGATACTATTTAAGTCTTGCTTTACCTTGGTGACCTCAATCTCCGATATTTGTAACTGCAAACTTTCATGACCCTCTGTTTTTTCCCTTTATTTTTCGATCTTTTTCAAAACCTACTCCCATTAAGTTCTGTTCATCTTCTTACACAATATAGCGGAAATCTGTGAACCTTTTATTACGCTTACCTAACAATGTGCCATTTCTACCAATTCTAGAATAACACTGTCCACAACCCCCTTCCATATATATATATATATATATATATATATATATATATATATATATGCTTCCTCTAGAATATTCATTCCAACACTATAAACACAACTTTTCAGCAGTCACCCTTGGTCAACCTACATCTGTATTACCGTCCATCTCAACCGGTTTGTGAAAGTACGTTGTATAACATGTTTTCTTACCAAGGACATAATATTCTATAGGTTGAGACGAATCTACGAAATACATCCAAGCTAATTCAGCTGCTACTGTTCTTCTTGCTTCACATTCAAACAAAGATTTAATTGCCACTGTTACCCTCCGCCCAAACAGATCAGTTTTTAATATTGTCTCTCCCCCCCCCACCCTGTGATTGTGTGCAACTACATGCATAGGTATAGTCGAACTTTCTTCTAGATTCCTTATTTTATTAGGATTTACTAATACTAATTTAGCGTTTTTGTGCTGGGATTCTGGTTGACAACTTTGACGTATGTATTGGACCTTGTAATCATTGCAAGGGATTCGGTAAATCAAACTGTTTTGCCAAACTGGATGAACAGGATCTTTTAACCTACAAAGCTTGTTTCTAAATGGGTTTGTAAGTTTGAATGATAACCTAATCCCAACCCTACTGAAAATTCTTCGCAACGCTTCTGATGCACCTTCTTTTTAAGGTAACATGGTAGAGGTTATGAATTCTTTCTCCACCCTGTCACAATTGTTACTACCACCATTATTACCAATAGTAGTACTGTTGTGGAGCTGTGGCTCATTGGCTTACGGAGATGACTATCAACCATTGGGTCACAGGTTCGAGACCCACCCCACATACCGAGGTTTGGGCAGCAAGATAATATCATTAGCCGTCACACAATAGGTGTGGCTCATTGCCTACTGCACGAACCTGCACAAGGTTGCTGAGTGCATTTCGCTTAACACCTGTTACTACTACTGTTCATATTTCCCTTGCAATTTCTTATGAATTTACGGAAGAGTTTAGGTAGGTAGTCATTGAGAAGTAAGGTACCGTTAACGCATCTAACTTCTTGTCTTATTCTGTCCTACTGATAAGCTTCTTTTTGCCTTAATACTTAGACATTTGACCAACCCTACTTTAGCTGACATAAGATTGATGATCTGAAGCTCAAGTAGCGATTTTAATAGGAAGGTTTTCGATATAAACTAGTGTATACTTTTCCACCTCATTTATCCTGCAATCCAACATTACTAACTCCTCTTTATCACTTTCTGATTCATAGGTGAATTGGATTGCGTTCACTACTGAATTTGTGTGAGGAAACTATGGTGTTTCGATTTCAGCACAGTCAATGTATCATTTACATATTCAAACCACATCTTTGGAGTAGGACTAAATGTTTCAGGAGCTGTATGTTCCCATATATCCATGTCTGCGACGACGGGGGACATTGATGATTTTATGCCAACCCCTTCAGCTTGTAAACGTCATAGCATAACTGTACTTCCAGAATGATTTCCTCGATTGGTACTTTAGTTCTATACCTAAGCTCATGATCATCATTGAGTCCATTTCTGGTTGCTTTAAGATTCATGTCGATCATTACATTGGTGTACAAGCTAATTATATCAAAACTAATCACTTTTCATTGTTATCTAATTGTGTGTTATTTAATCTATGCTTTAGTGCATAAGAATTAGCGAGTCAAGACTTCGAATGGTTTCTAATTGGACCTGGTACCATTGCTTAGTGTTTAGACAACTCATAAGTTGGTGTTTCTAAAATTTGCCATGGATGTCATGGGATAACTTGGCTCAGAAATCTTAAGAGTACCACAAATCCCACTGGAATTATTAGTATTTGGCATTAAATAAAACCGTTTCGACTCACACAGAAACGGCTTTTTTGGCGTAATATCCACTGTAGATTTTGTAACCCTATAATAGTATGTACTAGTTTCCGAACCTTTTCATACTGTTCACCTTCAATACTCTAGTTCACCCTGCGAATGTAATCAGATCTGTTTAGCACAACCGTTAAGTTCCCTTCATTAGACTGGACAACTCCTATTGTTATTATTCCGAAGGTTCCTCAAAGCCTCGGTTTCCAGTTTCGGTTAATCTGGTTCCATTTTCTTCTATCGCATTAATGTTAGAGCACATTGTGCTCGCATTTAAACTAAAACATTTTTCTCTAATGAACTTGATGCTGCCACCTTTTTTGGAATGTCATCTTCAGGTTTCAATTTATTTGCCATCACACTGAAGCTAAGGCGCTTCTCCAACACCTTTACTTCTGCTGAGCTAAAGACTAGTTCAGGAATTGATAGCCCACTTTGATTTGTCTATTATTAATGTTTTATTAAGAATCGCATTATTGTTAACTGTACATTTTTCTTCAGTTTGTTTTCGGAACTTCTGAATCATTTTTCAGTGGAATTTATGGTATTATTAAGATTCCTAAGCCAGGTAATCCCATCAGATCCATAGTAGATCTTAGAAACACTCTAAATCGAGTTGGGTGGAGGGAGATGTTGATAGTTAAGTCTTAGTTTATCGAATTGACTCGAAATACATACAATAGAAACGACCACCTGTTCCAGACATGGAAAATTCTACTACCTTTATCACAAAGAAAGAGAGAGAAGTAGAACTATGTGAACGATGTCTCAAAGCTATGGAATTACGTGATATGAATATGAACAATATCCGAAGCGTTATGTAGTAAATATTGCTGTCTCACTGTGACGCATCTTATAAACAAAATAAAATGAAACAAGAATCTACTAGAGTCTACTTTTAAATCCTGTATTCAGATAACGAACTGCTTTGCATTTTTGAGGAAACTTCTAACGGACCTGTGGGTATTCATAGCGGCAGGCAGTAAAGCATCTACGCTGGAATATTGTAAGGTTCGAGATAAAGACGTATCACCAGTTAACGTCCCAAAGCATGCGAAACGTCGTTAGTGGGGGATTGTTTGAGGTGTCACAAACTCCTATTCTCTCATTATGAGAAGTACTAAGTGTGAGAAGACCCGTTTCGATAAAATATAAAGAATCGGAAGAAGTAGTGGGATAAGACTTGGCTAAAGCAAATAGTTCATCCAACTGTTTTAGCCAATATTTTCCTGAATATGATTGTGAAGGGATTCTAAATACTCATAGTACTCTTAACGTTCCTTCAATGGGACCTATCCAAATCACGAAGAAAGTAGTGCTCCAGCAGCTCAGTGACCCAAGGCATACAAAGTCACCTAGTCGAGACAGACTTCATCTTAGGATTCTGTTGTTGACTAATATTACTGATGCACCCTTGGTTATTTTATTCAATATGTCCTTATCACAGACTCACTCCCTAGAGATTGGAAAGATTCTATAAGTCGTGTTCAGGGGGGGTAATAGACTAGTCACCAATTATCCCATTTTGAATAATGCCCTAGGCATTGATTTATTTAATTTCCTACCTCCCTTTAAGGTTGATGAACTCAAAATCATCAATAAATATCTAAAAGCCACGGTCGAGTTATATTCGAGTGGAGTGCTGGTTCTTCCATAGAGTAGTCAATGACTAGAACTTGTTACCACCACAAGTGGTTGTAACTCCCCTGGTGATCACTTTCAGGGAGAAACTGGATCTTCATACAGATAATTAATATAATTACCAACCCAAATAAATGGTCTATCTCTTTCACTAAAGAGTGATTTGTAGGTCCATCTCTGACATTGAAAAAAGCAATTTTCGAAATCGTCAAGGGGAGATTCGGCGAAAATTCGTACTCAAAGAGCTGTGAGATCTACACAGTCATTGTGGATTGTGACATGTCCAAGCTGCAAGAATCCTTGAAAACATGGTTTCTTCACAAGCTAGAACTGATCAACCAGCACCTTTTGTGTTTTTTGGAGTCTTCAGACAGAATTGAATTCTTACGAATTTGCCGAGCCAACAAATACAAACCAATCACTGTTGTATAGTCACACACGACAAATCGAGACTGTCATTTGTTAGGTAGTACAAATAGAATAAATGGGGTTAAGTGTGAATACTAATGTGAAAAGAAACCTATTTCTCTGTCACTCCTGTTATTTCAAAATCGAAATGACAATTAGTAAAGAATAAAGTTAACGTCTTCACAAAACGCCACATAAAATGATGATCTGGAACCTAACTGGGGTATTCCCGACGAATAAACAAAATTGCGAAGCGGAATCGAGTACATTACACTTGGGGAATGGGCAACAACTAACGAACTGGCATTTAACCTGAATAAGTGCCGGTCCATGTGTCCCCGCACTCCTGATCCCCAGAAAGTATCCTACTCTCTGTAGTTCACGTTTACCCATGTGACAGGAGAAAAAGACCTAGGTTCAACGGTGACGGATAAACGACACCAGTTCCAATTACCCAGGTGACGCCTCAAAAGCATACGGTGTACTACACTTTGTGCGCAGACAACTAGGTGCCCTTACACCAGAGCTCTTTCTGAAGCTTTACAAGACTTACACACGACCCCACTTGTAGGTCCATAATGTCTTCGCTCCACCACAATTTGAAGCACGAACCTACTGAAGAAAGTTCAGAGGCGAGCCACAAAAGGGGTTGTCGGGATGCAACAAAAACCAAATGAGGATAGACTGAAAGACTTAGGCCTATACTCTCTTAGCTACAGAAGGTTACGATGTGACGACAACAGCTTGCAAAATACTAAACAACCCAAGTCACCCGAACAGAGAATTACTACTGAGTGGCCACAATGGTGGTCCTCGTGGAAACCCTAAGAGAATTCCCAGCCAAAGGTCGAAAACTTATGTGCGTTCACACTTCTCCCTCCGAGTCTTCAGACACTGGAATACATTACCAGAATTCTCCGCCCCATCTAATGGAAGCTCCAAGAAAAGGCTAGACAGTCACGCAGAGACCCATGGTCTACCCACATGTAGCTGGAATACAAACTAAACAGAAGAAACCTAGTGCTGTCACACCATCCCAACTACTTTACCTCTACAACCAGTTTTCTTTCTACTTCAACCGTCTAAGCCCTTTTCATCTCTTCCACTTGGCATGAGTTAGCCTTACCTACCTAAGTTCTTCATATCCTAGCACCCCTTTTCGACTAACCTGGGTGTGAGTAGATTACTCCATTAGTTCACTTTTTTCCTTTTTACTCACATTATCCTTTCCATATTTTCTCTTAGCTATCCCTAACTCTCTCTAACGACCAGTCCGAACAACTGTCTGGCAACTGGACATCTGAAGAAGCCAACTGTACTACAGTCCGAGGCGAACTGACCAACACAACCTCGTGTTCTGTATACCACAGCTATAGCAGACGGACGAGTGGCTGGACTTACTGCATCGGAATCCGCCAAAGACCTTGAACCGTTCAGCAAGACCAAGAAGGAATCAACTGGTTTTCACAAGCTCGTTGAACAGATATTGGATATTGGGTACTGAGCAACTCAGTGAACTCGAGGAAACTCAGATCTGTCGTCCGAAAGATAATAAGCATTTTGGTTGGATTGTGTAACAATTGCTCAGGAGGAGAACAATTTAATATCCGTACAGTTTTTTGAATCATTTTTTAAGTTTGATGTAGTAAAAGAGCTACACTAGTAATGAATAACGTCACTCTAGTGCCTATAGGCACTATAGTTCTAATTCCTAACCCCTAATTTATTATCCATGATAAATGGCTGGAACTTTTCGTGCTAAGCTGTTTAAATAATCTCCAAATACTATTCTCGATAACCATAAGCATAAATAAACTCGCCTTTACCGTACCCTGTTTTGGGTAAGTATCGGTCTATTCCCGCCAGGAGCAAAGCTGTATCGTTTTATTTTGCTCGGTCATCTCAAGGACGTCGTTGCCAGTATGCTCATGGAGCACTTGGATAGACTTTAAAGACCACCTGAGAAAATGATAAGATAACCAACTGAGTTTCTCTATTTTATGGGAAACTATCTATTTAGCCAGATGAGGAACCTAGTAAGTTACCGAACATTGGCTCGCTCCTTGAATACTGATATGTTTTACTTCATCTCTATTTTACTCGGGAACGACCTTATGTACGCCCATCTAATCGGTTTTTTCATCTTCAAAACCACTAGTTTTGCCAGAAAATTGTCCATGGAGAGTACAATCCTCAACTGGTCACTGCCATCACTCGCCAAACGCACAACAGTTTGGTGAGCCTAGCTGTCCCAATCAGCTGTTACACCTCAGGTTTCTGCATCCGCGGCACTATTTATCTCATTGAATCATACATCTTCGGCTTGCGGGAAGCTTTAAGCACACTTCTGAGTTGCATAGCTAGTCAACTGAAGGATGACAACTTAAACTCATAGGTTTTCAGCATTTTACTTGACCTAAGCACTTTTATCTTGCGTTTCCCCGTAGCTACTTGTCGAACTGAGTGGCATCAGTGTTTTACCTAATTCTGATCCCCAAAACACTTCAAGTGAGGCCTCACTCAAGTTGCTGGCCACCTCTTTCTCGGCAGTAACTAGTGTCGTAGTTAAGACTTGTTAGCCTCTATGAACCATGGGTCGACATCGGTCGGACAGCCACGAGTACCAGTTCCCGGAAGTGGCTGAATGCCTAGCGTACATAACCATCAAAAACTATCTTCTCCCGTTCATGAAGCAGTGTATCTTACTTGCACACCTAGCCAAAACCCTGGCCTTCGTGTTAGAGCTACTGGAGGGAGGCTGTAGAGGACAAAAAATAGCTCCTGACTAAAGCTACTCTCCACTGTGACGGTTGCCACGCTAGTAGTTTCACCAGAGCCAGAAGGGTCGTGACTTTTGAGTGTAACGTTTGCAACAAGCCAGTAAACTATCAATATGATGAGTACATACCGCACCAATACTACATCTTCATGGATCGCAACCCACGCCCCTTGTTCCAGTATGTCTGCCCACAATTCCGCATATGCCCTTTCTTATCTACAGGCTAGTTTTGAAAGGCTTCAGAAGACATACTAGTGTTTGCTCAAATCTCGGCACTCGCACAAGCTACTAGTACAAGCCAGAGACCAAAACGCGAACGTCAGTCACTTCCGTAAGTAGTCCAAAAGCAGCCAAACAGCAACCCGCCAGGAAACCAACTAGATCAGCTTCAAACCCTCAAGTTGCTCTAACAGTTACCCCTGCCGTACAATGCAGGAAATGAGTTACAGCGGAAAAAAAGAGGAACTCTTCCACAAAACCTACTGGCAGTACGTGATAACAGGGTTGTCGACCACATGCTAAACTACGTCGTCTAATTTAACGTTCCTGTGCATCCCCTTGAGGAAGGAGAATCATTTGGCAAGCGGAAACGGGAAATGGTATGTTGCACACTATGGTTAGGCGGCTTAGAGGTGAGAATGAGTTGGCTGTACCAGGGCAGCCATTCACCTCAAGAAAAGCCTCCGTGGATGAGGGTGACCCCGAGCTTGGCTGGGAGGGTTGGGTGATTCTTCTTGCTGTCATACACACTGGCCACCAACACTAAGGCATTCCAGATCGGCCACGGTTGGCGGGAAAATTAACCTGAGGAACACGACACACGCTGAAGCCAACAGCCATGGTTGTCAATGCTTTACTGGGACTAGCGGCCGGCCAATTATTGGAGAATTATATTCATGATGTCCAACGAAGTCAGTAGCTGTCAGAACGAATGCGATCAGGTGAAGCTGTGAGATGAGCGGTCTGTGGCTTTCACTTCTCCTACATTTGACAATAGTGACACCGCTCAGATTCATGGCCACTTGCTTTGGAAGCCCAGAACCTTCGACCAAAGTGCCCAAACATGCTGCCCAGTTGGAGGCAGCATCAACGGGAACGTTCGCTGTTGCAAAACCAGACCCAGAACACTGTGATAATAACATATTACGGTCCCCCCTCATGTTGAGATCACGGTTGCTGTGAATGGGAAAGAACGTTCAAGCTCACCCTGACTTCACAATATCTCCACAAGCCGCAGTGAAAAGGATCTGACCGAGCCCATTACAATGAAACCGGCTGACCACTGGGGACTTTTACCACCACGCACAACACTCTACAGACCGCCGCCACCGAAACACCCCGTATTGCCTGAGACATCTTCGAGTATCTTGGCAGCAATTTGAGAGTACTGAGAGGAACGATATCAGGACTATGAACTCTGTTCCTATGTTGATCCGAACAATGTAATCCTGAAAGTATAGCAATAATAATGATATTTATTCCTGAATATACGGGTATACACCACTCTTACAGTCGTGAATGGATAGCTGTATAAATTACGTTTGCCTTTGTGGTAGGTAATTTCAATCCACACCTGTTCTGCCACTGGAAGATGTAGGTACTGCATGTTTATGCTATGAAACATCCCGGAAGAATAAGTATGCGAAAGTTTATAGGTTGTACGACTGAAAAATTGCCTTCGCATTAATAAGAAACCGGGTTCCGTACCTGGATATTACATGCATTACCTGGAGAATAATAAAGCTTAAAGCTAATACTTCCACTGTAACACCTCACACACCACGCTAAAGAATAGTGATGGAAACTTCATAAGGGAATACATACAAGTTGTCTGTTCTGTGTACTTCACTGATGATTCCAGAACTGTGCAACTGGTGTATGCTCATACCGGTTCACATCTACGGCCTATAATCTCGCTGAATATTACGAATGAGGGCTGAATATCTGCATTTTTCAACTCCAGCCACCCGAACTTATAGTTTCGTTTGAAGGTGTCAAATGGACTCCCAGAACATACTGCCGGACATTTTCACAGGTCGTGATAACCTTGTAGTTGGTCAGTGTTAGACTTTCCTGGCCACTTTCATGATCAACAAATCCAAGGTTTTGACAATTATGAAGTTTAGTCCGGTGATTCGACATGGTGGAGGCAGTAACGCCTGCCACCGGAAGGCATTATAAAGTACTTTATTTCCGGCGGCATAAAGGCCAAACTGCACAGACTCCACCACCAATACTTCGGGAACAGAAACTTAGCAGCTGTTATAAACATTCCTATAGTTCACTCAAGACTTCGAGAAAGTGCAGCTTAAGTGCTCAAAGAAGAAACTGATGCTCCGGTCAGTAAGTTCATGGTTAGTTCGACCTGTAGGCTCTATTGCGAAAGGCTGAACTTTAGCAGACTTGATATGCAGCTAAGCCAATGATAATGAAAATATTCTTGGTGATCCCAATAATGCTCGTGAGTCCTTAGGTGCCTACCTCGCAAATTCATACACCCATGAAGTTAACACACTTCTGCCGCCGATTCCTTCTCGAACAATAAACTCCCTAGCCAACATTAGCTTCTCATTGGGTGATATTCGACGGCTATTAATTCTTCGAAGTGTTCAAATATCTTGACACCCTATGTAATTTCCTTATTTTTTGGAAATACGGCAGTGAAGACATTCCGCTGCTTCTCCTCAAGGTATTTTACACATCTTTATCAACCGGAACTCACCCAGGTGCGTGAAAAAACCACAATCACTTCCCGTGACACAAGTCAGAACCTCGTTCAAGCGTTTTGACCTATGGGTCCATAAACATGACATCCAATTTGGTAAAGATCATTTCAAGTGCTTCATCCGACTTCCTTCTACAGGAAGAATTTGGAGCCCCCTCTCAACATGGTCTTGAGGAGTCACGTTCATGTATGACCTGCCACTTGCAATTTCTGACCACATAATACACCTTAAGGATATCGGCGGGACCATTGAAATAATATGGAGAGGCTTCCAAAACAGTAAGTTTTCTTGCACACTCATCTTTAATGGTGTTTGCCTAGATTCTGGGGTAGCTGACCTCACTTCTTAGCCTTCTGCGCTTCCCTTATCCATCCGATTGGCAGATTATCGTCGCATGTCATGCTAACACACATTTACCATTGAAATAAACTGAATTTCAGTTCATGATCTGTGAACTGTGGTGTCGTATTTCCTAAATGGTGCAAAACATCGAAACACAATTCAAATCGAACTGGAAGCTCCCTTACTACCTAGATTGAAAGTCTAAGGGGCCGCCTGATCTTGATAGAGCATTTCGCGAGGTAAAGAAACTATATATACTCCTCTTCATTTATAAATCTATCCTTATCCAAAAATTAAGTTCGGGTGCAATCGAGACAACCAGCATTTTTTAGTTTATAACTCTGCATCACAAGGAAAATCATGCCTGTGAAGACGGCACGCTCTCATCTGCATTGAGTTGTGTGAAATCACCACAATTGTTATTATCATAGGGTCCAACCATACGAACTTTAATACTCTCTACTGGACCGGTTTAGTGTCGTTTACTGTGGGACGTTGTGCCCCAAAAATATCCCACCGGGATGTTTTGTGCCATTAGAAGACAAGCCCACCCCTTTTCTTCCGTTTATCGCCGACCTAGGTTTGACATACTCATCGCATTACAGCTTCAAGAACCATGTTGTATCTGAGGTTTTCAAAGTCAGAAAGCTACTTGGACTCATATTTCTAAACCTCGGGACGCTAGAGCCTAAGATCCTGCTGTATAAGTCACGCATCAGCTCATTACTAGAATTTTCCCTTCCTATCATAGATTGTGTTTTGATTAAATACAGGTGAAGAGCCGGAGGTACACAGAGAATATTTGCCAAAACGTCGGTGAATAAAGATTCCAACACTTCCTACCATCAAAGATGTAACATTGTCAGTGGAGCCGTGGTCCTTCACTGTGGATACGACTATCGAGGAGCCATGGTCCACAACTACTGAATCCTAAAGTAAAGGACAACACAGGAAAATAACTCCTGTATATGAAAGCGACGTTCGTTTGCACAGGTGATCACGACGTCAAAACACAAACGGTCAGCGTTCACTCGAAAGTCGATTATAGCCTAAGACGCCAGACTTTCACTTTCAAAATACCCCGTTGGCGTGCAAGATATAGAGAAATGTGGTATTGTTTAAAACCGCCTTCCTTTCGCAGCTGAAAATGGCGCCATGCCAAGCCACTTTCATCCGATTTAAACAAATACCTTACAGAATATGAACTGCAAGCAATTTGGGATGAGCTAAATGCTGGGGAAGTTGTACAGCAATTGTTTCAACTTGCACATCGCTTATGTGCATGTTTTATCTGGGGTTTTGATTCTCATTCCATTTTGTCGATAAGGGTGCCAATCCTCCTGCTAAACAAGTAGAAAATCCACTGAAATGTTCGATCCCATAAATCTTTTATCTACTTCTCCTCGAAAAAGTATCACAATAACCAAGAAAAGAATAATCAAGACGAGACGCGCAGACTGGTCAGCTAAATATCTCTGTTTACTGCCGACAATTTTTGACCGTATTATGAGTATCTGCATCGGCGACGTGTTCGTGCACATGAAACTCTACGGGGCCACCGGTTAAGTCGCAAGTACATAAGTAAACGTAAATAAATATTTTCCCACATTAGTATGTTAACATGAGAGAGGCCAGTTTACACGTATCATCACACTGACGTATTTCGAAAAATCTACAAGATTTTGCGGGTCCTGAACAGTACAGAAGGGAGGCCGTTGAATCCGATTAAAAATATCGGAAGATTCCATCAGTTATGAAGCGAACAAGAAAACGCCATTTTTCAGCATATGCAGGGTGTCAAAGTTTAGGTCGTTTTTAGTCATCCTTTTTTCACTATAAATGGCTAAATTCCAAATTTCTTCTACAAGCAGTTGACATGTTTGACTCCCCTTCATGATGCCACATTACGCCGGATAAATGTTTGTTTCATCGTAAACTCTTTTGCTTACAGTTTTCGAGACCAAAAGAACCGATATTGACGATTTGGGGAGTCTGTAAGTTTCCACACAACCATGTAATCCAAGTGAATATCCATGTCTAAGCATCTGCTGATCTTCCAGTGTTGCCGTTCACAGCAATACAGATTTCTACCATCACAACTAGGTGTTTTTGTGCACAGGACTAAACATTTGAAGAGCCGCAGACCAACGGAAATGGATTTTTCACACTGTTCACGTCAAGGTACGCAGCATTATCAAGGAGGTATATTCACTGTTCCATGAAGTACTAGAAAAGTCTGTTGCACGGCATTGTTGTGGATATGTTCGCTGTAGAGGTAAAGGGTGAACTGGTCTCTTAGATTTAAATGCCTGTCTGGATTTTCGTTGCAATCGTAGCCATCTACAAATTTGAGTAGTTCGAGGATAGATAAATGTTTATACGATGAAAGAGCTGTGTGAGTGAATGGGACCGGGAATTACTGCTTACTGACCAGTAATTTTCGTGGGAGCACTGTTTCATTCCTTCGAAGAACAGTGGAATGCCGAGAATCGGTAACATACATTTCTCGTCTGAGCCCTGTTGTCATCTTAATGGTGTAGGTCTTCGAAGTTCTGGGGTAAATCCTTTGTTCTTTTGGCGTTTGGATCTCCAGATAATTCGGTAAGTTTTCATCACAGTCCATTTTATCATAATCCAATGGTATCCCCATACTGCAACTATCTGAATTTTTGATGGAAAAAGCAACAAAAACAGTTACAGCCTCTGCACCTTTGCGGTTGGAAACTGTTTATATATCAAGAGGCCCTGTAATGTCTGTAGTTTTAGAAGCAGTGTCGGAGGTGGGTTTGATGTAGAGCTAAGCTGTATCATAAACTTAGCCAAAGTATCTGATTCAGGTGCTTCCCTGAGTAAACTGTTCCATCTCTGAGCATATTTTTATCACAAAGAAGTTCTGCCTGGTGACTGTTTTGAAATGCTCAATTGCTACTGTTGCGGTTACGCTTCTTCATGCATTATTATTATTTTTATTATTAGTCCCTTGAGTTCCTAGTGGAACATAGGGCTTCAGTAGCACGCCTCCAGTGACCTCTGTTCTCTGAGATCTTTTGAACCTGGTCCCACGACAACCCACAACCTCTCATTTCCTCCTCGCACGACCTCCTCCATGTCACCCTCACCTTGAACGTCCAACTCGTCGTTTCCCATCTGGGTTCCACTCGAAGGCCTGACGCGTGATGTCCTCAGTCGGCCTTCTCAGTGCATGGCCAATCCATCTCCACTTCTTCCTGCATATTTGTTGCGTGATAGCTTCTTGGTTGGTTCGTTCCCAGAGCTCCTTGTTGCTTATTCTTTCTGGCCATCTGATCTTCAGTAGCGAGCCAGCGTAAGCAGTTGTTGATGAATGTCTGTAGTTTATTGGAAATCCCTTTCGTGACGCGCCAAGTCTCTGAGCCATACAGAAGCACTGACTTGACGTTGGTGTTGAAAATCCGTATCTTGTTCCGCATGCTGAGTGCAGTTCAGTAGATCTCCACACTGGTTTCAGGCTAATGAACACCTGTCTTGCTTTTCCGATTCTGACTTTGACGTCCTCGTCCGTCCCGCCTGTAGTTGAGACAGTGCTTCCTAGATAAGTGAAGGAGGTTACTTCCTTTAAGTTTCTCCCGTTGACGGTGATTGGAGTTTGTTGTTGTTGTTGTTGATGGTGGTGCTGCGGTATCTTCATCACTTCTGTCTTCTCTATATTCACCTGAAGTCCCGTCTTAGCTGCCTCTTCTATCAACTTGTTAGTTTTTGCCTGCAGATCTTCAAGTTTATGTGACATTAGGCATAAGTCATCGGCGAAATCCAAGTCTTCTAGGTTCTTTTCCGTCGTCCAGTGTATCCCCCTCTTCTCACTGCCTACTGTTTGCTGCATGATCCAGTCGACCACAATAAGGAATATCATGGGGGATAGTAGACAGCCTTGTTTCACTCCTGTCTCCACTTCACTTCAAAAGCATCACTAAGCTTCCCATTGTGAATTACTTGGCATGTGGCATCTTCATATTGTTGTTGAATGAGGCGGATAAAGGTTTGTGGTACTCCGTAGTATTGAAGCAGTTTCCAAATTTCTTCTCGGTCGACGCTGTCAAAGGCCTTCTCAAAGTCGATGAAGTTGAGGTAGAGAGCTGATTGCCATTCTATGCTCTGTTCTATGATGATGCGTAGAGTAGTGTTGCAATTTGGTCCACACATGATTTGTACTTCCTGAAGCCTGCCTGTTCCGGTCGTAGTTTTGAATCCAGTGCATCCCTTAGCCTCTCCAGGATGATGCTGCCTAATATTTTGCTTGCTCTGGGTGGACAGGAGAGTGATTCCGTGCCAGTTCTTGCAAACACTGAGGTCTCCCTTCTTCGGCAGTTTGACAAGGTAACCCTTCTTCCAATCAATGGGCAGGTACCTTCTCTTCCTTCCACACCTTCTGCAATAGTGGTGTGAGCATGTCCGCTGTTGTCTCTGCACCTGTTCTCAGTGCTTCTGGTGGGATTCCATCTGGTCGTGCTGCTTTCCCACATTTCAGTAGCTTTATGGCGTTCAGGACTTCCATTTTCGTTGGGGGATTTATGTTCACTTGTAATTCAGCGGCTGGGCTGCAGGTGGTATTTGTGGACGAAGTGCAGGTGGTGGTCGATTCAAGAGCTTCTTGAAGTGGTCGGCCCATCGTTTCCTCTGTTTCTCTTCTTTTGCAATTAAATTTCCTTCATCATCTTTTATTGGTTTCATCTGTGTTGGTCTTTTCCCTGATAGCAACCTGGTTATTTGATACAATGTCGTCAGGTCTCTCTTACCTGCAGCCTGTTCTGCTTCACTTGCCAGTGTTTCGTAGAAGTGTCTTTTGTCTTTGCGTGCACTCTTCTTCACTTCTTTGTCCAGTGCTTTATACATTGTGCTCAGTTCCTCTTGTCGTTGAGCATCCTTGCACTGGTTTATCTTCTGCTTCACCATCCTCCTCTCCCTGCTCTATCAGCTTCCAGGTATCCGTCGAGATCCATTCCTTGTCTTCTTTCTTCTTCCTTCCTAATACTGTTGTGCAGGTTTCTTTCCACATAGCTTTCAAAGAGTGCTCTTCCTGTGTTCTTCCACACAGGTTTCTTCACGGATGTTCCTCGATATCCCCTATTTTGTCTTGATGGCTGACTGCCGTGAAGATCTCCTTTGTAGTTTCATCCTTCAGTTTCCGAGTGTTGTGCTTGAACTGAAGTCTATCACCAGCTTCCTTGAAGGCTTTCAACTTCATTTTGTAGGTAGGTTCCTTGCAGTAGATGGTGAGTGGTGTGAACCTACATCTGCTCCTCTTCTTGACCTTGTGTCAAGTAGACTGCGTCTCCATTTTCTTGAGATTGAGATAAAGTCAATCTGACCTTTAGTGTAGTGTGTCCATCTAGTGAAATCCATGTCGCTCGCTTTGTGGATATCCTTATGCTTGAACACACTGCCTGACTCCAATCACCAAATCGTTGAATGCACAGAATTCTGCAAACAATTCTCCATTCTCATTCATTTCACCTAGCGCCTCTCGACCCATGGTTAGTTCTCTTCCTGTGTTGTCCCCTCCAAGTTTGGCGTTCATGTCGCCCATCAGAATTTTGATATCGCCAACTGAGTTGTGGTCTTGTCCAGTGTTGATTGCAGTTGTCTGTAGAATTCCTCCTTTTTCTCTTGCTCTGCATTATTTTTAGGTGCATAACATTGTATGATTGTGACCTTTCTTCCTTTTGAGTTGAATCTTGCTGTCATGATCCTGGAGGAGATTGGTTCCCACTGTATGAGAGCCTTCGATGCTCTTGAGGACATCATGATAGCCACTCCCTCAGTATGCTCGTGGTTGGCGTCTGGGTCACAATATCGGAGTAGATTATTGATTCTCCAGTTGACAGTTTGGAGAGTCCACTCCCATTCCATCTGCTTTCGCAAATCCCAAGCACTTCGATGTTATACCTTCTCATCTCCCTTGCAATCTGGGCTGCCTTACTGGGTTCAAACATCGTGTGGACATTCCATGTCCCCACGTTTACTTTCGCTTTCATCGAGAGAAGACACATCGGCCAATTGGCTTCCCGAAGGCTTTCACCAACTGGCGTCATTTCGCCTCTCCGATTCCAGCGGGGAATAAGTTTGTTATTATTTTTTTATATTTTGTTTGTGCTTTGAAGTTTCTTTAGCGGTTAGATTTGTTTTACGGGGTAGGGTTGCTAGTCCTATGCCCAACCTTCCCTGTTTACCCGGGCTTAGGACCGGCTAGTAACTAGTAAACTAGTTAACCAGGCGAGGTTCTTCTTAATGCATATGCAGTTTTATTT